ATGTGTCTTGGGGTGTTTCGCCTTGGGTTTATCCTGTTTGGGACTCTCTGGGTTTCTTGGACTTGTGTGACTATTTCCTTCCCCATTTTGGGGACGTTTTCAGCTATTATCTCCTCGAGTATTTTCTCATCGCCTTTCTTTTTATTTTCTTCTTCTGGGACTCCTATGATTCGAATGTTGGGGCGTTTCACATTGCCCCAGAGGTCCCTGAGGTTGTCCTCATTTCTTTTGATTCTTTTTTCTTTTTTCCTCTCTGCTCCATTTATTTCCACCATTTTATCTTCTACCTCACTTATCCTATCTTCTGCCCCCGTTATTCTATTGTTGGTTCCGTCCAGAGTGTTTTTGATCTCATTTATTGCATTATTCATTTTTACTTGACTCTTTTTTATTTCTTCTAAGTCCTTGTTAAACATTTCTTGCATCTTCTCAATCCTTGTCTCCAGGCTATTTATCTGTAACTCCATTTTGTTTTCAAGATTTTGGATCATTTTTATTATCATTGTTCTAAATTCTTTTTCAGGTAGATTCCCTATCTCCTCCTCTTTTGTTTGGCTTGGTGGGCATTTTCCATGTTCCTTTACCTGCTGGATATTTCTCTGCCTTTTCATCTTACTTAGATTGTTGTGTTTGGGGTGGCCTTTCTGTATTCTGGCAGTCTGTGGTTCCTTTTTATTGTGGAGGTTTCTCCCAGTGGGTGGGGTTGGGCGATTGGTTTGTCAAGGTTTCCTGGTTAGGGAAGCTTGCGTCGGTGTTCTGGTGGGTGAAGCTGGATTTCTTCTCTCTGGAGTGCAATGGGGTGTCCAGTAGTGAGTTTTGAGATGGGTCTATGGGTTTGGTGTGGCTTTGGGCAGCCTGTACATTGATGCTCAGGGCTATGTTCCTGCATTGCTAGAGAATTTGCATGGTATGTCTTGCTCTGGAACTTATTGACTCTTGGGTGGTGGTTGGTTTCAGTGTAGGTATGGAGGCTTTTGGATGATCTCTTATTAATTAATGTTCCCTGCAGTCAGGAGTTCTCTGGTTTTCTCAGGTTTTGGGCTTAAGCCTCCTGCCTCTGGATTTCAGTCTTATTCTTCCAGTAGCCTCAAGACTTCTCCATCCATACAGCACTGATAATAAAACTTCTAGGTTAATGGTGAAAAGATTCTCCACAGTGAGGGACACCCAGAGAGGTTCACAGAGTTACATGAAGAAGAGGGGAGGGAGGAAGGAGATAGAGGTGAGCAGGAGGGGAAAAAGGGGGACTCAGAGGAGAGAGACAGATCTAGGCAGTACTCTGTTCCCTAAGTGTTCTCTGCAGCCCAGAACACCCACAGAGGTTCACAGAATTGGATTGAAAAGGGGGGGGGGAAGGAAATAGAGGTGATCTGGGAGAAAAAGGAGAGTCAAAAGGTGGAGACAGTAATCAAACCAGTAATCACACTCCTGAGTAAAACTGGGTACTGAAGGTTGGATTCTTAAATGTCCAAAATTCATATCAAATACTGAAAAACAAAGATTAAAAATCTAGAGGTTAGACTCTTAAAAATACATTAAAAAAAAAACAAAAACACAAAAAATTTAAGAAATATATATGAAGTTCTCTTTAAAAATAGGGTCCCTTTTTTTTTTTGCAAGGTTATAGTGGATTATAAAAATGAAAATTAAGGAGTAATAGAGGACTTTAAAAAAAGAAAAAAAATTTTTTAAATTAAAAACAATTAAAAAATAATAGTAAAAATATATCTAGGAATTTCTCTGGAGCTGTTGCAGGCAGTGTGGGTTCTGTTCAGTTTCAGATAGTTCCTTTTTCCAGCTTATACTTCTCAATATCTATAAGCCCCTTCCAGTGTAGTCGGTGTTAACTACAGGGACTTTAACCTGGTGCACCTGTCACTTCTAAAGCTGTTCCCTTTGTTTATTCGGCTTCTGTTTGCAGGTCTCTTCAGTGTCTAATTTCCGCCCTGACACAAGTGGGCAGAGGTGGTCTCTTGTTTACCTTCGCTTGCTCAGTGGTGCTGTGGGGAGGGAGGGGCCCTGCAGACAAATGTCACTGGCGTGTGTGGGGAGTACTCGCAGTGTTCCGGCCACACTGGGTTTGCCCCCGCTCACGGCATGTGTGCTTTCCCCGTCTACAATGCTCAGGCTCCAGGCTGCTCTACAGGGAGCGGGCTGGAGTTGCGTGTACTTCCCACGTCTAAGCTGCTCAGTTTCAGGTTCTCAGGTACTCCACAAAGGCACAGACTCAGTTGGGCCTGCGTTTTGTGCGTTCCCCGGTCGGAGCAGCTCAGGCAACCAGGTGCTTGACGAGTGCACTCTCTTCAGGTGCAGCACGACTTCTCCCCTCGCCGGTCCCAGCCTCAGTTTCCGGGTGCGCCAGGTCCGGTGCACTTTGTGTCTCTTCTGGGGAGCTGGTCTCTGGCTGCGACTCTCCCAGTGGATGTCAACCATCCAGAATCTCAGGAAGTCTTTGGTTAGAAACTGGAAGCCTGTTTCCACTTTGGTAGGGGATGCTGTCTCTAGGGCCGAGTTTGCCCCTTTCCGGCTCTGGCTGGCGCCTGCCTCCCTCCCTGCCTCCTGCCTCTGGCGGAGGATGGGCCGGTCCGCAGCCAGCTAGCTCTTCTCTGGTATTGCTCAGTCCTCTGTTCTGCGGAATGGGCTGGCTGTGCCTTAGGTTAGGGCTTTTCGCAGGTTAATTCTCTCTCTCTCTCTTGCTATCCCACAGTTTAAGTTCCTAACTCACGTTAGCTCCCTCAGATTGCCCTCAGAGCATTCAGGTCCGGTCCTTACCCTGAGCAATGCCACCCGCTCCTCTCTGTTTAGCCCCCACTTGCTGGTGGCGGATGTGAGCGTCTGGGGTACTTTTCTGCTGGGAGTTGCTTTTAGGCATGTAATCTGTGGGTTTTATTTATTTCTCCTCCTGGTTAGGTTGCCCTCCAAGATTCGAAAACTTCCCCCAGACCCACCGGTGAGAGGGTTTCCTGGTGTTTGGAAACTTCCTCTATTAAGACTCCCTTCCTGGGACGGATCTCTGTCCCTAACTCTTTTGTCTCTCTTTTTATCTCTTATATTTTGTCCTACCTCCTTTCAAAGACAATGGGCTGCTTTTCTGGGTGCCTGATGTCTTCTGCAAGTGATCAGAAGTTGTTTTGTGTAGTTTGCTCAGTGTTCAAATGTTCTTTCGATGAGTTTGTGGGGGAGAAAGTGGTCTCCCCGTCCTATTCCTCCGTCATCTTAGCTCCTCCCACATGTGGTTATTGAATGCTTGGAATGTTCTAGTATGACTGAGGAACTGACCTTTTACTTTTATTTATTAATAATTTAAATAATTTAATGATTAATAATCTCCCTTGGACAGCAAGGAGATCTAACCAGTCCATCCTAAAGGACATCAGTCTTGGGTGTTCACTGGAAGGACTGATGCTGAAGCTGAAACTCCAATACTTTGGCCACCTGATGTGAAGAGCCGCCTCACTGGAAAAGACCCTGATGCTGGGAAAGATTGAGGGCAGGAGGAGAAAAGGATTACAGAGGACAAGATGGTTGGAGAGGACGAGATGGTTGGATTGCATCATTGACTCAGTGGACATGAGTTTGAGCAAACTCTGGGAATAGTGAAGGATAGGGAAGCCTGGCATGGGGTCACAAAGAGTCAGACATGACTGAGTGACTGAACAACAACAAATTAATAATTTTAACTAATTTAGGGGACTTCCCTGGTAGTCCAGTGGTTAAGAATCTGCCTGCCAATTCAGGGGACGGAGGTTCAATCCCTGATCAGGTAACTAAGATTCCACATGCTGCAGGGCATCTAACTCTGCACACCACAACTACTGAGCCCATGCACCACAACTAGGGAGAAGCCTGTGTGCTGCAACTAAGACCTGATGCAGCCAAATAAATAAATAAATACTAAAAAATAATCATTTTAATTCACTTAGATTTTAACAGTTACACGCAGCTAGTGGCGAATATGTTGGCCAGTTCATCTCTGTATGATAATATTGTGGCTTACACAGTTTTCCAAAAATTCATAAAAACATTCTTAAAAATCTAGAGTTGAAGACAATCATTCACAACATATTTCAAGGGTCGACTACTAGTGAATGAATAATTATTATTGCAACTTATGATGTATCTGAAAATAGTTATGAAGAAAACTTTTACAGCTTGCAGGAGTCACATGGCTAAGGAGGACTCTTATCTAATCAACCACTTAGAGGACAGAGTTAAGTTTTTTAATAGCAATCAAAGTAAGTCAAACCTGAGTTAATTTTAAGACCATAATATAATCGTTTCCTCTGTTGCAGGGAGGAGGGAAATGCTGTCCCTTAAGATTTTTGTCCAGTGCTGTAAAGATTCCATTATCTTATTCTGGGTCTTTTTCAAAAACCTCAAAAACCATTTAAAGTCAAATGGGATGTCCAAATGAAGTAATAGTGCTTTTTTTCCATTTCTAGTGGGTTGGAGGATAGGGAGTATGGTAAATGGGAGAAAGCTATCCTAGGAAGAATAAAGAAAAAGTGAGAAAAGTGATCTGGAACTATTTTCTAGTAGACCAAAGCTGTGGGGATTTTTACTGCTTTGTGATGGTTGTTCAATCCTAGTTCCAATTCTAATTTTGTGTTGTTTCCATTGAACTAAACTTAATGTTTTCTGTCAAAATATTTAAGTTTGAGGAAATGTGGCCTAGATTAAAAGTCAACAATAGTGGATAATAGCAAGTTCCTATTTTTAAAGTAATTATATCTCTGCTATGAATTTTTAAAGATAACATAAATCTAAAATGTGATTCATCTTCCATTTATTATAACTTATTGCTGGGATTTGTACTTAGATATTACCTTACATGATTAAAAAACCCCAAATCTTATTGAAATAATGGTAACTTTTGGCACTGAGAATTTGGCTGTGAGAAAACCACAGCCAACACCAGTATAGTATTTATGGGCACTGAAACAGAATAAAAATATCAGCAAATGCCTCTGCCTGGCTTTTTGCTGGTTTCTTTAATTTACCTTTAGTTTCCTCCGTGCATTGAATTTACGCAGTTGCTCTACTGTTTCTGGAAGATGAATCTTGTAGGCATAACGATCCCGCTCCTAAAAAAAAGATGAAAGATAATGAACACACATAGTTCTTTATAAAAGTGAAGAAGCTAAATTTAAAATAAACAACAAGCCCAATTGGGTATGAAGGTCAAAACTGATAGTAAAATAGTATTTCATCTTCATCAATAACAAAGGGCTAAAATAATGGTCCATGTACTTTTTCAGATACATGGCTATGTGACTAAAATAATTCATCATAATTATTATGAAGGCATGAAGTTAACTTTGACACAATCTTGTCAGGTAAAATGAGCCTTTAGGAAATTAACTCACAACTAATTCAGCATTCTGAGTTGTCAAGAATAACTGGATTTTAAAAGAAAAGTCACAGTATCTTCAAACTAGGACAAACTTATCAAGCCCATTCTAATCCAACCATTTCTCCATGTGGGATCTTCAATATCTGATGGATGACCACTCTGTTTGACTTCATACAATAGGAGAGTATCACTTTATGGCAGCCCACTACAATTTTAGTGAAAAATTCTTGAACGTGAAAAAATTCTTACTCAGCCCACCTGTGGCTTGTCTGGACTAGCTCTTCTCTTACTCTCACAGAGTATACACAATCCCTCTTCCATATAATACCCCTTTAGTAGTTATGAGGGGGTTCATACTTCCACTGAATCTATTCTTCTCTGTGATAACATCTCCAGTTGCCAACTTCTCATGTGTATTTCAAATCTCCTGTCATTCTCCTTATTGCCCTCTTTGGTTCTAATTTGTCAATGTATCTTGAAGATTTTATGCCACAGGTACTTATTTTAGAAATATTTCTTGAGTACCTACTATGTGCCAGGCATTGTTCTATGCACTTGGGATTAACAAGTAAACAAAACCTTAACAAAGATTCTGGCCCTCATGTAGTTCATATTTTAATGGGACAAGATAAGAAAACACAAAGAAGGGAAATTATAGAGTATGTTAAGAGTGCTATGGAATAAAGCAAAAAGAAAGGCAGGGTGAAGGTACACTGCAATTTAAAGTAGGGTGGTCAAAGTACAACCCAACTGAGAAAGTGACATCCAAGAGGTAAGGAGAGTGGTCTAGGCAGATAGAACAACTAAGTGCAAAGGCTTTTCAAAGGAGACAGTGTGCCTGAAATTTTCAATAAATAGCAAGGAGACCCATGTGTGTGGAGTAAATAGTAGATCAGATTAGAGAAGTGGCAAGGCTGGTGCAGGCCATCAGGGGCCTTTGGTTTTATTTTACACTTGATCTTAGCCAAAAGGCCGAGAAGCGATCTTTGGCTTTTATTTTGAGTGGGAGATGGAGCAACTGGGAGGTTAGAAGCTGGAGTGATGTGATCTGACAATGTAGAGGAATACTCTGGCTGTTGTGTTGAGACTAGATTGGAAAGGGGAGAGAATTAAAAAATAAAAGCATGGTGACCAGTTAGGAGGTTCTTGTAGTAATCCAGGGGGGAAATGATGGTGGACAAAACCAGATGGAAACAATAAAGAGAGTGAAAGGGAGATAGACTCTGAATGTAGTTTGTCTTCCTGAAAAAGTTTTACTGAGGTATAATTAGCATACAATTAACTGCACATATATGATGGGATAAGTTTTGACATATGTATACAAAAATAAAACCATCCCCACAACCATAATGAACATATCCAACACTCTCAAAAGCTTTCTTGTGTCTCTTTTGTCACCCCCTTCTCCATCCCCAGGCAATCACTGATCTATTCTGTTACTTTAGATTAGTTTGCATTTTCTAGAATTTTATATAAATGGGATAATACAGTACATATTAATTATTATCCAACTTTATTCACTCTGCTTAAATATTTTAGCTTCACCCACATTGTTGCATGTATCAATAGTTCATTCTGTTTTATTGCTGGGGTTATTCCATTGAATGTGCTGTGCTTAGTCGCTTAGGTGTGTCTGACTCTTTGCAACCCCATGGACTGTAGCCCACCAGGATCCTCTGTCCATGGGCATTCTCCAGGTAAGAATACTGGAGTGGGCTGCCATGCCCTCCACCAGGGGATCTTCCTAACCCGGGGATCGAACCTAGGTCTCCCGCACTGCAGGCAGATTCTTTACCATCTGAGCCACCAGGGAAGCCCATTCTATTGAATAGATGTACCATAACTTGTTTATCCATTCACCTGTTAATGCACCCTGGGTTGTTTCCAATTTTTTCCTGTTATGTATAGGGATGCTATGAACATTAATGTACAAGTCTCTGTATGGACCTAAGTTTCATTTCTCTTAGGCAAACATGTAGGAGTAGAATGGCTAGGTCATTTTATAAGAATATGTTAAACTTTTTAGGAAACTATGAAACAGTTTTCCAAAGTGGCTGTACCATTTTATGTTCCCACAATAGGTATGAGTTCCAGTTGTTCAACATCCTCACCAACACTTGGTGAGCCCCTGGGTAGCATACAAGAAGGACAGACTAGATGAGTACTGCAAAGGCATTGAAAATGAAACTGGCATTTGAACCATAGTGCGTAAAAATGAGCTAGGACGTGTGTTCTGAATCTAACTGGGTTAACTGCCTACCAAAATAGAAGATTTAAATAAGAATCATAGTCTTATAACATAATAATACCAGAAATGCCCAGCACACTATCCAAAATTACTCGTCATACTAAGAACCAGGAAAATCTCAACTAACTTAAATTTAAACACTTCTACTCTACAGGCTTTAACCCTTCTATAGGCTTCCTAATTCTGAATATCTCAAATCACTCACCAAGCCTCATGAATTTTCCTTAATTGCTCTCAGTTTGGATACTTCTTTCCCATTCCCACTATGACTCCCTGGTTCAGGCCCTGTCACTTCCTGACTGGACAGACCAGCTTCTATAGGACCTTTTTGTCTCTACTGCTTGTATCCTGACAGGACACCTACCTGTGCACAGTGTCCAAAGGAATTACATGAGCATGCTGCTCATATAATTTTGCATCACTCAAAAGCTTGCAGTAGCTTTTTACTCTCTATACCTTAATATCTAAAGTACCAAATTTGGCATTCTAGATAAATTCTTCCCTCAAACCAAATTTTCAGTCTACTGCAACCCTACTTAAATAGCTGACATTTTGTACTATACCAGTGTTTCCTGACCCCTTCCCTGAATACCCTGAACACTTAAAATGCTGTGCCTCCTCTGTGCCTCCCACATGGGGTATATGGCCCCTTTAGTCGTATTAACATGTGCAGCCTCCCTCCCCACTAGCTAGTGTGTAGCACTAGCCTACAGTGACTTCTCATGCTCCCCGTTAGTCTCCCAGGGACCATACTTCCGTATTCTTGTGAGATGCCTCTCACATGTGACTTCTTTGAGGTTATCTTTCTGTGTCTTTATATCAACTGCATTTGAAATTTCATTTCATGGTCTCACCATGCCTTTCTCTCTTTAATATGTTGGGAAGTTTAGAAGATAACAGACAGTGAAGTGAAAAGGGAGAGAATGATACACTCAAACATTTTTTTAAAATAAAATTATGCTTATATTATGATTCCTGATATTTTCTAAGCAGATGAAACCATAAGATTAAAAAAGTCTATTAACGTACTTCTTACCACAAAACAAGTAAATATTAACTCCACAGCATTATAAAATTAAGACAAAAGAATAAAAATAATATTTTCCAGATTAAATAGTCCTACCTGAAACTAACAGTACTGTGATATGAATTCAGAAAAATGTCATTAGCAATGTGTCTTGCATTTAAAGAAGTGTTGGATTCACTATCCATTGTGCACACGAGATGTTAAATACACATTTAATTGATGTGTTGATTGATTCTTCCAAAATTCAAATTGATTAGGTTAATATAAATACCCTTTTCATCTTTATTATAGTCAATACACTTGGAATCTACATATTAAGGCTACAAAGGGTGTGAAAAGAGCTTAACTGCCTGTGAGAAAATTATAATCTTAGTTGGTCTTACTTTTGTTGGAATGAATATTTACAGCAAACAGCACTAATTTAGATAAAAGTATTAAACAGGTATAATTTAACAACTTCAAGACATTCACATATTAATTGGTCTATTTACTCAAATTCCCATTTTATATGTCATGATTGAATAGGACTTTTTTTTGTGGTCTTGCCAAAGAAATAATATTTTTTTTGACACAAAACAGTGGTATCATGACTTTGGGTACTCCTTACTACAAGGATTTTCATAATTTTACTTCTTTACATTGCAGTTACTCAGGAGTTTTTAATATTTAAACTTTGGCTGAAATTTTAGCCATTGCTACATTACCACCACTTCTATGCACAGCAATGATTTAAAAGTATACATGGAAAAGTTCTGAAATGTAATAAGCCTGTTCTCATCAGCTTGATAACATTCTCAATGAATTTTTCCATCTTCAGATAATATACTGTAGTGAAAAGTCTTCAGGAATTTTTTTCATTTAAGTTACTGGCACTTTTGTCTTTTGTCTTTGTGGTGCCAGAAATCTGTTGTCTATTAAACTCAGATTATTTGGCAAAAGAACTATAATCATTGCAGGGATAAGAGTTTCCAAAAATAAATATTATTAGTCAACATATGCAAGATAATGAAAGCCAACTTTTCTAAAGGATATTAAAAATGACTAATATGGCTGCCATTTTTACTGTTACTTGGCATTTAAACTAGCTGCAAACAAAAAAAAAGATTCTCATGATAAGAAACTGAGAAAAGCAAAGGAAAATCAGGAGGTTCCCTTGAACTGTTTATTTCTGGGAGAAAATAAGTACTAAGAAAGTACCTCAGAACTGTTCACTCTTTTCTGGAGGAAGTCAGGAATAACTATAGCTGGGGAATTCAAGTCAAGAATAGCTAGAGCTGAGTATCAGAGGATTGAATGCTGATGTGAAAAGTAATATTCTTAAGGAGAATCAAGATCTACTGGAATTTCAACATTGTTCAATCATACTATTATCCCATGTCATCTTAAGGTACACTATTAATCTATGTTTAAATATTATTATTTTATATAATTTCTGGGGAGCTAGCATGGTATAGTAGTGTGAACACATTTATACATTCACTCATTAAATCATGAACTGATATTTATGAGCACCTACTAAATGTCAGGGGCTTCTCAGGTAGCGCTAGTGGTAAACAACCCATCTGCCAATGTAGGAGATATAAGAGAAACAGGTTTGATTCCTGGGTGGGGAAGATCCCTTGGAGGAGGGTATGGCAACCCACTCCAGTCTTCTTGCCCGGAGAATTCCATGGACAGAGGAGCCTGGTGGGCTACAGTTCATAAGGTCGCAATGAGTCAGACAACTGAAGCGACTTAGCATGCACACACTACATGTCAGACACTTTCAAAGGTTCTATACAGAAGTGAACCAAGAGACAAAAATTCTTGCTCTGTATGCAGCTTATATTTTATGGAAGTAGAGAAACAAATAAAATGTAAATATGTCTCATGGTGACCAATGCTATGGAAAAAAAGTAAGGCAGAAAAGGGGGGTAGGGAATACTGGTGGCAGGGGACAGTTCTTCCCTCATATTTTAAATTGGGTGGTCAGGGAAGATCTCACTAAGAAGCTGCTATCTAAGCAAAGACTGAAGATGGTGAGGGAATAAGCCATGAAGATAGCTTGGGGAATAGTATTCTAGGGAAAGGGCATTACTAACACAGGCACTGAGGCAAGTGTGGGCCTGCTGTTTGAGGAAAAGCGAGGAGGCTGACATGAGGGTACAAAGTGAGAAGAGGAGAGTAGGAAGGGGTGAAGTCAGAGAGGTATCAGGGAGTGAAATGGTAAACTAAGTTAATAATACTTCAGGGGACAGGTCTAGCCTAAAGGTATAAACTCAGGGTGTACAGATAGCATTTGAAGCCATTAAAACTACTGGTAGACGAGGTCTCCAAGGGTCTGGGGCTTCCCTGGTGGCTCAGCTGGTAAAGAATCCACCTGCAATGCAGGAGACCTGGGTTTGGACCCTGGGTTGGGGAGATCTCCTGGAGAAGGGAATGGCTACCCACTCCAGTATTCTGGCCTGGAGAACTGCATGGACTGTATAGTCCATGGGGTCACAAAGAGTCAGACATGACTGAACAACTTTCACTCTCACTTTCCAAGGGTCTGAGTGTAGACAGGAAGAGGAAGAGCAAGGGGCTGTAGCACTCCATTGGGAAGACATGGTGCAGGGAGGCGAGGAAGAATCAGCAGGATCTGGAAGGGGCTGCCACAGAGGTAGAAGGGAAACCAGGAAGAGAGGTGCCCTGAGGCCAAGGGAAGACAGAGTTCCAGAAGTATGGATGTCCAATTGTTGATATGCCAAGAGGGAGAATCATGAGATCTGACCACTAGACTCAGCAACATGAAGGTCACTGGTGACTTGATGACTTGACAAGAGCTATTTTAGTGGAGTTGGTAGGATTGCAACACTGACTAGGGTGGGTTCAAGAGAAAGAGATGGGAGAAACTGGGGAAAGTGAGTAGAAATAACACTTTCTAGGAGTTTTGCTGTCAAGGGGAGCAGAGAACAGAGGGAGTCTGGAGCGGGTTGTAGGGTTAGGAGAACATGCGTGTGTGTGTGTAATGAAAATAAATGGTAGCTTGTTAGATCCCGCAGAGATAGGAAGGTGCTGATGCAGGGAAGGGCTCACAAGTGGGAGTGCTGACCTTGAGTAAGTGAATGGGATAGGATCTTGAGTACAAGGGAAAGGGGTGTGGTAGGCTGAATCCTGGTTCTAACATCAACAACTTTTGTGACTTGGGGCAAGATTCTTAACCTGAGGCTTAGTTTTCTCACACGTAAAGTGAGAATTTCCTGGAACTGTTGAACACTGTAATGTCTTCATCAAATAGTACTATCTCACTGAAGTCCCAAGTTATAATTTTCTTTAATAGCAATACTTCATTGGCAGGATAGATTATAAAAAGAACTTTTAAAATCTGCTTTTTCTAGAGCCTGGGAGCCACAACTACTGAAGCCCACACACCCTGGAGCTCCTGCTCCACAACAGAAGAAGTCCCTGTGACGAGAAGCCTGCACACCACAACTAGAGAGAAGTTCCCTCTTGCTGCAATTAGAGAAAGCCAGCATGTAGCAATGGAGACCCAAGTGAAAGTTAAGTCGCTTAGTCGTGTCTGACTCTTTGCGACTTCATGGACTACAGCCTACCAGGCTCCTCCATCCCTGGGATTTTCCAGGCAAGAGTACTGGAGTGGTTGTCATTTCAGTCTCCAGGGGATCTTCCCAACCCAGGGATCAAACCCAGGTCTTCCATATTGCAGGAAGATGCCTTACCATCTGAGCCACCAGGGAAGCACCCAGCACAGCCATAAATAAATAAATAAAATTAAAAAAATCTTTTTCTTAAGAAAATAAATCTGTATCTAGTATCTATTGAAATAAAAATAATGCTATAAAGTATACAGTCACAACCAAAGCAATGATAATCGCTTTTTCAATATCATACACTAAGTGCACTTTCTGTTGTTCATGTTGTGCATCCTTGGAAGATGTGTTGGTAGAGAACAAACAAGCCTTCCTCTGAGATGGATTTTGCCTTAATCCTCTTCTTTACCCTCTTGTGATGAAGCCGAATGTCATTCAAATGGTACATCCTCTTAAGATGTTTACAGAGAATGCACAGAAACAGTAAATAAGGTGAACAAAACTAATTTAAAAAATGCTCAGAAAAAAAAGGGTGGAAAGGGGCACCTTACAGAGTAATGCATTCTTGTCACTGGAACTGTCTAAATAAAGTGCAGATGGCCACCTAAGAACTCACATACCTTAAGCCATGGGTGATTCAGTGCTTCATAAACAGTGATCCTCTCGGCGGGATCCAGCATCAGCATTCGGCGTACGAGGTCTTTGGCACTTTCAGAGATATGGCTCCACTGCCTTGGATTCATCTGAAGAGGGGGAAAGGAAAATTACACAGTTAGGTTCAGTGAGACGTTAATGTTCACTGTTAATATTCCTACACTGTTTTAATGCAAATAAGATTCAGGTAGCAAAGTAGAGAAATCAGATTCTAAAGACTTGCTTTCTAAGGAAGAAGAGGACTGAGGTCATGCATTTCCTGTTGCTCAACACATGAGAATTTGCATCAGTAAACATTCTTTATACATACTCTGGTTAGATATATAAAAATATTTTTAATAATTGAAGAACAGAATGTTCACGACTCCAGATTCTATCTCAGGTAAAATAAAGAGTCTAGCATCTAGACTCTAAGGAGATGAGAATACTTTGATCTAGAAAGGACTAAAATAAAATTTAAAAATTTTAAAGAAGTATTTTTAATATTTTGTTTTTAAAACTGGGAATTAGTGGTAACTGTGAAGCCACACAAAGTAGCTTTTATTAATAGGATACTTTGGTCACTGTATGTCATTTTCAGCATTTAGGAAAAAATATATTACTACAGGCCTTACAAAAAACCCAATTTACTTGTATATTATTCTTAGTGAAGTGACATTTTTTCCTCTTTTAGAGATGAGACAACTAAGCCACAAGGTAAGTTGGCTAAAGCCAAACAAAATAATAAATTATGAGCTGTTCCTAAGACACAGGACTCATGAGCAAGGCTGTGGATCTCTGAGGAAAAGAGCTGGAAGACTCCTGGGAAAAGAGGTATATCTGAGACCAAGAACCAGGAAGAAATGGAAAGGAATGCTTGGGGCTTGGAGTTGGGAAGGCAAGTAGGGACATAAGGGAAGAGGCGGAGCAGGGTCTCATTCCCTATTTAATATCAGGAAACTGACTGAGTGAGTGTGCACGTAGGAGCTGTCTGTTGCCAGGAGCTTTAAGCAATGCCATGGCTTTAACCGGCAGAGACCCATGTCACTTTCTGTGGGAGAAAGATGCAGAATAAAGTCCCAATACTTTAAAGCCAAATGAAATCACTGCTTGCATTGTAGTACACACGAATCATTATAATCTGGCCAAGGTTTAGCATCAGGCATTTTGCTCTGGCTAATGTGAAGCTTTGTTCTAGTAGATAGAGAGTGGAAAATGTTCCATCTTCTTTGTATAACAGGCAGAATTCTAAGTGGTAGTCACTTCTCTTGTCAGATCCCTTAATTAAAAGTGAATGCCATGAAACTGTTGAAATACTGTCATCCTACTGAAACTGTGATCGGTTGACGAGTTTGAAATAGGGAGGCAAGTGATTAGACGGGGCTTAGACAGCCTTGCTTCCTCTTCACCATCCTGGAGATGATGTTCTCTTTCATGTCTGAATGATCTGTTCTCAGGAAAGGTGTTGAGAAACCATCTGAAAATGGTCATAAGATTTCTGAAGTGAACAGAGGTTGAGAAGTATACTTCCTGGTCCTTTTCATGAGGGAGCCCAATCCAGGGTTTTCTCTTTGGCAGAGAAGAGTAGCTGATATTAATTTGGGAGGTTGAGTATGTCTTTACCATCTGAGCCATGAGGGAAGCCCTTGAATATATAAGGGAGAACAAAACAGGGCTATAAAGCAGTCAATTATTTGAATATGAAAGCGAGGCAACTGAGAACTCCTGCTGTGTAGACACCAATTGGATATCCAGAAACAAGTGATATAAGGTGACATTGTATCTTTTATAGACTTTGGGAAATATATTTTTGTCCTTTATGAAAAATTAATTGAAATTAAATGTCAGCATATATTTTAGCTAAAGTATTCTCTCCTATCGACCTTAAAAGATCAATAAGTTAGTAAACGAGAATAAAAAGTTAAAATTATTTAAGACCAGTAGCAGTTTATAAACTATGACATTTTGTCATCAAAATTTTCTTGAAAATACTCCTAGAGATCAAGGATTTTTAATTTTTGTTGTTGTTAAGAACTACCAGGGTGGCAAAATATTTTTGAGATCTGCTCCAAAATAATGTAGTAGCATGTAGAATATAGATAAAACAAGATTGGCTGGATGTTGATAAATATTAAAACTGCGGGTTCATTATACTATTATCTCTACTATTTTGTTAGAAATTTTCAGTAATAAAAAATTTAAAAATGAATGCTGACACAATCATAGTATTTTTTCTAAAGGCCCAGTAGAGTCATCACTGATCTGTACTTCAAACTAAGCTACTGAAAACCTAGGGCCTTTGTAAGGAAAGCCATGAGTATAAGCGAGAGGTGAGGTTAGCCAAGTAAGAGTAAATATATTATTAACTTTAAACCCCCAGGTACAGAAATTATAGTATAGCTGCCACCATCCACCTGACTTATTATACGAGAATACTAAGAATAGGAAATTTTAAAACAATCTTTTGGACATATTTGACTAGTCCAAATTTTTTTCTAAACAAAGAAACAAAGATAACTATTCAATGTTTTAAAAATAGACAAAATCAAATACCAAGAAGCCGTTGGAATGAAGCACATTGCCTTGGAAACCAGGAAGTTAGCAACTGAACAAACACAAAGGAAGAATTCTATTATTAGCAAATGCTTATAGCTCAAGAAGGCAGGTGGGAGATTTTATTATATGGTACCTACGTCATAAGTTGCTGTGAGGATGAAAAGAGTTAATATAAGTAAAGTGCTTAGAACAGTTCCTGGAACATAGTAAGCACTATGTATGAGTTAGCTATCATTATTGCTAGTATTATTATTACACAGATAGATTATTGTGTTTATTTTCACATGTTAGTATCTGATTTCACTTGGCAAAATTCAACGAGAAAGCCATAACCGTGCATTCCTGATAGCCACCCACAATTTCCAGGGATTGAAGGGAGATGATTACTTACAAGCAGTTTCCTGAGACTTTTAGTTACCTTGAAAGGATTGATTTTATTCCCCAATGGTCAACTGACTCTAAGAGAAGCAGAAAAACCTATACGTAAAATGTCTTTCTCTGTTAACAGAGTTTTCCCATAGATCTTCATCTAAATAAAGACAAACCTGTGTACCTTTATATGTAAGCTGATGGTATACAAGGAAAAAAGTACAAACCATTCTCACCAACTCACTTCCACAAGCTTCAGTTGTGATTTACAGAATAAGGCCACAACTCTGAAATTACTTTACCTTCATTTCTTTTTTTTTCTCTTAAGTTTTGTCAAGTCCCCTATAAAATTCTAACATTACTGAGGAACAGGGGAAAAAAAAAACTTTAGGGGTCTCAGAGTTTTGGAGTGTAGTGTTATATGAATATAAACCTGTGTGTTTGGTTTTTATGTTGCCAGGCATGGCTGAAAACGAAAACAGTGATTTTGTTGAATAGAAAGTGCGTGTTAGGGAGAAGGCGAGGGTGGGATGTTTCGAGAGAACAGCATTGAAACATGTATATTATCTAGGGTGAAAAAGATCACCAGCCCAGGCTGGATGCATGGGACAAGTGCTCGTGCCTGGTGCACTGGGAAGACCCAGAGGAATCGCGTGGAGAGGGAGGTGGGAGGGGGGATCGGGATGGGGAATACATGTAAATCCATGGCTGATTCATGTCAATGTATGACAAAAACCACTATAATATTGTAAAGTAATTAGCCTCCAACTAATAAAAATAAATAAAAAAAAAAAGAAAGTGCATGTGTTAATAATAACAGGAGAAAGGAGAACTTCCTCAAAATAAACTGCCCTGATTTGATAGCCAGACACATACTCCTCTGTGCTTCCCATACAGAGCATCGTATTCCATCAGCCATACAAGGTGGCACTGGGCAATAAAGTGTAAAAGCTAGGGTAGTGAAACCAACCCCAAGCTTATTTCCAAGAACCTCCTAGGTCTTTTTGGTATAGCCACTCATGACGTCAGTAATGGCTTCTTAAATTATTTAGTAATGAAAGTAATAATGTACTAATCAAAAGTCTGGGAATAGTACATGTAGTTTCCAATTCACAGGAGCCAAAGATGAATATAAATATTTAAATCACACCAAAATGGCTCTAAATTACATTATGAAAAACAGTTGTGATACTAGCATTTCAGTTTATCCTGGAAGGTAAATGGCAATTTTTTTAGCTGTGTTGGCTGACTACATAAAATGCAATAAAATAACATGCATGCTAGAGCAAAAACAAATAAAGGATAATAGACACTAAACCTAAAAGTAAGATAAAGAATTACTAAAATTACCTGGATGAAATTTCCATTTTAACTTTAGAAATGAAGTAATAAAAATAAAGCCCTTTTCTCAAATTACACAAAGAAGGGCCAAAGAAGTTTATGCTCCAGCTCAGCCTGAATAAATGGGTTCGATCACCAGACAGCTAATGAATATTTTAAAATCTGGGCTCGGGTCTGTCACAGACACCTTACCCAGAGTAAAATAAAAGCTCACATTCTCTCACAGTAAATTCCAAGGAGTATTCCAAATTCTTTCCCTGAATTAGAATTTTATTTGAAATAAGTGGGGCACAAACGAATTACTATGAATCTGAGTTAGCTAAACAGGCAGTTTTGCTAGAATGTATTTGTGGTCAAAGATTTTGACTTATAGTGTGGCTCTGTGACTCTGAGGGCCCAGAATGTGGAGGAAAAGGGGAACATCCATTGGGTCTCTGGTCTTTATACTGTATCAAAGACAAGTTGGGTCCCTGTTTTCTGGACTAAACATAGAGTTGGAATCCAAATATGTGGGATAGACTAGAGGCAGCACAGAGGGAATGAGAAGGGAGGAGTGAGGCAATGGTTTTTTTTAAAGTCAGTCAGTCATCTGGATGATAATTTGGCTGAGAGCAACTCTGAAATTTACTTGAGAGCTTTGTTGCCTAACAAGGCTAGTGGATCAAAGATGCAAGCAAAATAGTTTTCTTGGACTCGGTAACTACGTTGACATCAATAAACAATCCAAAGAGAGACAATAACTTAAAACATTTTTTTCAGAATAATTTAATCTCAATGGAAAGATAAAACATTCATAATATATTACCTTATATTTTCCTTTAATAATGCCTTCAAACAATCTTTCCTTGGTTCCATAAAAAGGCAAACAACCGCTTAGCAGGATAAAAAGGATCACGCCACAACCCCAGACATCTACAGGTTTTCCATAAGGCTCTCTCTTGACAACTTCTGGGGCCATAAAATGAGGTGTTCCAACACGCCCTATATTTAAAATGACAACATCAAGGAAAAAATGTTTACATAAAATGGGCTTCCTCTCCATTTGAAAACTGAAAATAACAGTGTGAATAACAAGTTTAACAATGTAAATATTACCACCTTTTCCCTCCTCTATAAAATCAAGGAAAAAAAAGGCAGAAAGAAAAAAATTATTTATCTAATCACCTCTTGAAAATACTGAGTCCAGGAGAGAGAGGTACTCTGTCTTCTAACTCTGCTACTTCCTATTGAATTCTGCAGAGTGCATGGTAAATATTTACCTATTTCTTACATCATGAAGAAGTTGTTTAAATTTTATAATTTTCACATGTTTGAAAAAAATTACTAAAAATACAGAGCAGAGACAGTGGTAGGGAGAGGGGGGAACAAGTGAGAAAATATCCGTGGAGAAAAAGATTACTTTTGATTGCCAAACAGAAATTCTCAAATTAAACATAATGCTGAGAACTTTTGCTTGGAATATGACTCTGAATCTGAAATCCTGTTCAGTAGATTTTAGGAATTAATTGCAGCAATTAACAATGGTTAACAATATTTTGTTATAATAGGATTTTAGCTTCCTTCAAATATTAATACTAGAAGAGAATGAGAGCAAATATATGACATAAGCCAAAGCAAAATCATGAGGCTCTTCCCATTAGATTCTCTTTGATTTCTACCTTCTTTAAAGTGTTTTTCTTTTTCCCTATCAAAATTAGGTTTCAGGAAGGAATCTGAAAGCAGTTGTTTGCACACCAGTAGCCATCTTTAACTCAGCACCCCCTTTTCTTCTGTGGAACAAAAGATTTGTATCCTAGGGAAATTCCTGTGGGAGGGGACGGCCGGCCAGATTTGATAGCTCTTCTAGCTCTAGGCGGGCCCAGTGCCCTCCTCTCCTCCTTTCCCCCTACACCCCCCACCTCGTCATCCAGAGTCCAAGATCATTATTTCGAAGACAGCACAAAACTTTATGGAGAGCTCGGAACAGTGTTCAGAGTTTAGAAAAAGACCTCAGAGATCTTCTAATCCAGCTAGAGAGAAAGCCTGTATCATAAAGTCTTGTTGGTGATTGTCAAACCTGGTTAGGATGGAAATGGTTGGGAACAGCTCTGAGCTTGTGCACTGGGAATGTTCCTTTGCTGCAAATTGTGGGTCCCCTTCTTCCCCCATAACAGAGGAGATTATGTTCAGGGTTCAGAGAGTGAAAATATTTTTATTTAAAATGTATGGTAGATCAGAGGAAACTCTTTGCCGGTTAGAAGGAAAGATTTTTATTTTCATTTTGCCCCATTTGGTTTCCTCAAGTAACATAAAGAAGCTTGAAATGATGAGAACTAAGCCTCCTACTTCATTAACAGCTGGGACAGGGCAGTGCCCTTGGAGAAATGTGCCTTGGTCTGATGGACAGGAGCTGGTAAAAGTAGGGAGAAGCAGGGTAAGAGATCAGAGTACTCATACCAGGGCACCAGCCAGGTACCTGCTGCTGGTGGTTGGGATACTGCTTGGAACTTGACTCTTACTACAAGACAGGGCCAAGCAACTCAAAATGCAGGTCTCAATCTGGGACTAGTCAAGAGCCCCCATGGCCAGCCCTGGCCACCCACGGGGAGGTTCTCTCCATTTATCTAGATTGAAGACTACCATGGTACTGGAGAATCAGTGTTCATCCTTAAGGAAAATACATGTTCTTTGGTTAAGGAATTTGCTCATAAATGAAAAAGGGAGAGACCATCGTGTGTTCCAGTCACTCAGTCGTGTCTGACTCTTTGTGACTCCATGGACTGTTAGCCCGCCAGGCTCCACTGTCAGTGGAGTTCTCCAGTCAAGAATACTGGACTGGGTTGCCATTCCCTTCTTCAAGGGATCTTCCTGACCCAGGGACTGAACCTGGGTCTCCTGCATTGCAGGAGGATTCTTTACCACCTGATCCACCAGGGAAGTGAAAGAATTTATAGGAGTGGATTAAAAAAAAATTTATTTCATGCAGAATGGTAGAATGTGAAAGGACTGGAGTTACCCTTTAACATATACTGACCTCCCCAATTTCCTGGTTTGTGATCACTTGACTTTTCCTTCTTTGTGGTCACTTGATTTTTATGACGCTGACCACAGAATTCTAAGAACGGGAAGCCAAATTACCAAACCAAATTAAATGTCACTGTATATGAGACACTTCAGATGTGCATTTAAAGATTTAAATGTTAGTTTTTTTGATAATATAATAAAACCTTATCATCCAGAACCTCAGGGAAGGGGGAGTTGTTCTGAATAGGTACATATTCGTTATACTTTAGGACTTGAATCTTTACACACCCACCCCTTTTTACTTTAAGAATTTTGGATGGCTCTCTTTCTATAATTTCCTCACTTCTTTTATACAAGATGCTGCAAATAATTCAACCTTTTCTTGATGACTCAGAATTATTATTGTGATACCAATGAAAGAAATCTGGCATAGAACCAAAAATGCATTGCATACCCCAGAGAATAAAGGTTGATTTTTTTCAGTATAAAAGGCAGCTGTGCTTTCCAACTTTTGGTATCTGCTCAATGTACTTTTTTTTTGGTCAGGCTTTCATTTCTTTTCTTTCACTATGCTTACTCTAGCCTTGTCTTCTCCTCATTTGTTGTATAAAATTTGCTATAAACTGTAAACTCATTAGAAACCAGATTCTTTCACTTAGTAAAAATTTCCCAAGTGCCTGCTGGGTCCTAGACACAGTGGTCTAGGACCACTGGGGACATACAAGGGATCAGCCATGGTCCCCCTTTGCCCTCACAAGGCTCAGTCTTTGATATAATTACAAACCCCTGCATGAAATGCTACATGAAGGCATGTATGCCAGACAGCTATGGGAACATGGGAGAGAAGGAACAGGGTTACCTAACTTGGGATGGTGAAAATCAGCCTGCTTCTAAGACTATTTCATTAACTAGATACACAAAATGACAAAAGGCATTCTAACCGGAGAGAAAGGCAGGTGTAAGCTATGAAGGAACGTCAATCCACAAAACTTTCTGAAAAATGGAAGCATGTCAGCCTCAGAGTGTGTCTTCATATGCTCACTTGAGAGAACCATGAACAGGTATTAAGGGCGGGAAATGTCTTGCTGCTATTACATTTATTTTCTAGGTTCCTAGTTGTATTCTGGATAAGTGAGTTTTCCAAACAGCTGAGTTTCTGATAGGGAACGTGTAAATATCTGTAAATGGCTTTTTACTATATAGAACATATAATGGACAGAATTACTTTTGATTTGGAGGACTGAGTGATCAAAGATTCCAATCTAACAGGAAAATAGCTTTCTTTTAGATATTAGCAAATGAGCTGATACATTTTCAGAAGTATGTTAAACAACATGAAAACACTTTTTATAAGAGAAATCATTTGTCCTCTATCTATATATGTAGATTGTGTTTTAAAGACATTGTAATGCTTGAATTAGTAATGCAAGCAAATGTATGTTTAAGAAATGACAGTATTTTGACCAGCACAAAGTATTTTAACTCTATAAGGACTGAGAAAAATAAATTTTGCACAACTGATACACTGCGGATTAAAAATCAGCTTTAAAAATACAAACTTGATGGGAAAGATTCATGGACTTTAGGAAACTAGATTAACATGTAAAAAATGTCTGGATAAGTCATGAATCTGTTTTTCCCCTTCAGTCAAGGTACATAGTAAAATGAAGCCCATACTATCTTTAATGCTAACAGGATGCAAATTGAGATCAAGAGAAACAAAGTCACTCTAAATGGCCAATATATATATATAACAGCATATAAAAGGAATTCATTTTATATCATATCATCCCATCAACCTTGAGGATGTAATCGTCAGAATTTGTATTTAATTGTGTAGTCTTAACAAGGGGGTGCTCTGTACAAATAGTGGATGTGAGAGAGTTAAACAGCAGTGTTTGTTTAGAAACAACTTGGGATTTGTAGTTGACTGCAAGATTAATATGAGCCACCAGTGTTACAACAGGGTTGTCTAAAAAGCTCATGCAATTTGGGGAGGCTAATAGGAATGTAAGATCCACAGCAAAAGCAGTGATAGCTTCAAGTTTCTATGAGTTGGAAGTGCCTGGAGATGTGCTCGGTTTTGGCTCCGTACTTGGTGCAGTCATAAAGCAGTTTATGTGAGGAAAGATGGCTAAATCAACCTAGGCGAGTTAACTTGGATAAAAAGGCGGATATGATGGCAGTTTTAAAGCATCTGAATGACTATTGTGTGGAATGATTAAAATTGCTCACTGTGGCTCCAAAAGCCAGAAGTAGGACTCCTGGGTGGAAGTTATAGGAAGACAGACCTCTGTTTAATGCAAGTATGGATGTTTCAATAGTTACAGAGCTTTTAAAAAATGGAATGAACTGTTCTGGGACATAATGAATTCTTTGCCACCTGAGGAATTAAACTAGAGCTCAGTCTTTTGCAGGGAATTTTATGAGATAATTCAATCATTGGTTTACAAGACTGGAGAAGTTAAGGACTCTTTGAATTCTGATTCAGTGATTCTATGATTAAGCTGCATGTTGCTACCTGACCCTATGGTCAGTCTTCTGATTGCAGATGGTAAGTTTCAAACTTTTCATTGGTTTTGAATTCACTAGTTCATTAGAATTAGAAGAAAAAATAATCAGTTTTCAAAACTATACTCAACCTGCAATTTCTCATATTCGTGGAAATGATTAACTAGAAGAAAACACAAAACTAGAAGAAAATCTAAACACAATTTAATTTTGGAGGGCAATGTGGTAAAATAATGATTTAAAGACTACAACTATGACTCATAGCTCATTTTTCAGAAGATGGCCTATGTTAATACTGCTTTGATGTTTTAGTAACAGTAAATGAAATGAAACATTCTGTGTAAAAGATTATTATTTTTATATTTATCATTTGTCAGGTATTCAAATTTAATATAAGCATTCTTGAAAGATGACAGGTTTAAAAAGGTTTAAAAGGCCGGCAGTACTTGGAGATGAAAAATAGAAAGCAATGGCTAGAAGATTGGTAGTTGGTAGAATGGAGAACTAAGCAATTTGCAAAACTAAAGAACAAAACTAAAAACAGGGCAGCATTCTGAGCTGGAATCTACTGAAAGGAATAAATAAAACCAAATACTTGAATCTGTAATTAGCATCCACCTCTGCATACTGGTGAAGAAAGTTTGTTTTAACTTTTCTTCCTTTTTTATTCTGGCATGGGAATTTTCTAGTTATGTTTGCTTTGGCTAATAATAAAATCAGTCTGTGCTCATATCTGCTTGCTCTTCCCAAACACACAGACTGATGGCCTGAGTGTGACTCTTTCACAAACGGAAAGAAGTGTGAAATTAAAAATCAGCCACAGATATAACCTGAAAGGAGTGAATCCACACACTTTAGATTTGACTTCATTTGGCCAATTCAACTTTAAAAGTCACTTTGCCTCAAAACCACTACAATATTGTAAAGTAACTAGCCTCCAACTAATAAAAATAAATTAAAAAAATAAAAATAAAAAATAAAAAAGGAAAAAAAAGTCACTTTGCCTCAAATATCACCTTCTTCCAATACTGTTTTAATCTCTGTATGTTAGGTCTCTTCCCTGTTAAATGTTGAGGATACAAAGAGTAAAAAGATGTAGTCTATTCTTAAGGGACTAAAATTCTAATTATGATTATAGAATTATTAAATTCAAAACTATATTATGGCACTTTTTTGGGGTGGGGGTGGAACATGCTATGAAACACTGAGGATAAACTAATATTGAAAATTTTACACCAGCCTAAAAAGTGATGCGGTTTTGAAGGAAATTTTTTAAAAAAACATTCTTACCTCCAGCTACAAGTCCAGACTCCCCTAATTGAATAGCTACCCCAAAGCCCCCAAGTTTAACAGGTGCTGAATTTTCCTTTGAGGCAAGGAGAACACAGTGGGGCTGAAAAGAAAAACAAACAAACCAGAGAAAATGATTAATTGTCAATGAACAATTTACACAAAGCCAAATAACATGACCATATTTGTTGTTGTTCAGTTGCTAAGTTGCGTCTGAGTCTTTGTGACCCCATGGACTGTAGCCTGTTAGGCTCCTCTGTCCATAGGATTTCCCAGGCATGAATACTAGAGTGGGTTGCCATTTCCTTCTCCAGGGGATCTTCCCAGACCAAGGATCAAACCTGCGTCTCCTGCATTGGCAGGTGGATTCTTAACCACTGAGGCATCAAGGAAGCCCATATAGTAAAATAAAAACTCCTGGAATTAGTTTGGATGCTTGAATTATTTGTCTATTCTCATGTCTGGCTGATTTCTCCAAAGACTTACCTGTTTTTTCCAACATTTTTCAGGAATTATTTGCTTCCAAGATTAGGGTATGGTGCTTGGAACTACTCAGGAAGAATGGATGTTCAAGACAGACAGATGTATTTTCTGCCTTTTCATGCAATATTTTCTCTCAGTGAGCGAGAGCCTACATTTGTTTAAGGAAAAGTATATTTTACACCTAAGTTTCTTGAAATCTGACTTGATCTACAGAGCCACTGTATCTTGGCCCTTGGGGGATACTGATGACCCTTTCTCTGCCCCCTCTCCCACCATCCTATTTTTCTTTATTTGTTTGACTCCCAAGTAAGATTTAATGACTTTAATTGAGCCCTTCTCCTCGGGAATTCAATGCTCTTCCTTGCTGGGGTCTCTTCTCTGGATGTGCCCTTCCTCTCTGTGGGAAGGGGAAGTGAGAAAAGAGAAGGGGGGAAGGAGACTACTGGGCTGGCCTCTAGTCCAGGGTAAAGACACCCCCCCACCCCCCGCCTGAGGAGCAGCTGCTTGACCAGGGCTCTCTAAGAATCATATGATTTTTGGTTACTGTTAAGAGTGTCTTTATAGAACCTAGTCCTCCTGCATCTGCCTTTTTCTGGGACCGTGTTGGGGCTGGTGTCAGGAAGGCATTTAATTGTAGGGAACTTTGGTCTCTGCTCAAATACTACGCTCCTCTCTGTGACTAACATTACATATGCTATGACCTGCTCTTAAAATATCAGTTTAGTGAAAAAGGCAAGCCTCTTCAGGCTTGGAAGATAAAGGTACTTTTTATTCTCTCCCACACTTGATCAGATGTAAAATGACCCAGTTTTAGTTCAGGTTTAGCCTAGATGATAGTGGGCATGAAGAGACCCATGCAATAAAATTCTGAGCTGGTACACCCAGAGTGATGTTTAATGATGGATATGCAAAAGTGGGAAGGATTCTTTTATACTTTAGAAGTTATTTTTTGTCCAAGGGTATTTAAAGACCTTTACAATAGAGTGTAGCACAAAGAAAAACGAGCCCTTGAGTATAAATGTGTGTATGAGTGTGTATGAGTGAGAGAAAGAGGAGAGAAAAAACAAGCGTACATGGATGGTGAGCAAACTGCAGGAAGACACAAAGTAACTGTTAGGGTCTACAGAAAGACAGGCAAACCTCTACAGAAAGCAACTGACAGAGTGCTCTCTCTCAATGCAAACTCTCAGCTGGTTCAAACAGAGATCAATGATAAGAGATCTAGTGTGCGGCATGTCAAATGAACAAGCTTAGAAAAGGATGGGCCTGATGCAGAAGAAAATACAGAATAGACCCAGACAGGGTCTCCCCGCCAGTGTCATCATTACCTTCTTAGGAAGGAGTAGAAGCTTAAATTGGAATCCCAGAGTATACACTTTATAGTTTGTTGACGATATCTACCTTGGACGTGGGATAGCTCCTCTCAGCCACTCCTGCACCGTTGCAGCCTGGTGCTCTCGGTTGCCGCCCCTGACCTTGGACATGGGGTAGGTCCTCTCAGCCGCGCTTCTGCGCGCTGCGTCGCAGCCGCCGCGCTTCTGCGCGCTGCGTCGCAGCCGCCGCGCTTCTGCGCGCTGCGTCGCAGCCGCCGCGCTTCTCCGTGCTGCGTCGCAGCCGCCGCGCTTCTGCGCCGCCCTTCTGCGTGCTGCGTCACAGCCGCCGCGCTTCTGTGCGCTGCGTCACAGCCACTGCGCTTCTGGCGGAGAGGAGCTACCCCACGTCTGAGGTCAGGGGCGGCGGCCGAGAGGAGCTACCCCAAGGAGCACAGGCTGCGCACGCGCAGGAGGGCAGAGAGGAGCTACTCCATATTCAAGGTCAGGAGGGGCGACCACGTCCAAGCGGCTGCGCTTTGCTGGAGCAGCCGTTAAGAGCTACCCCACGTCCAAGGTAAGAGAAATCCAAATAAGAAGGTAGGTGTTGCAAGAGGGCATCAGAGGGAAGGCACACTGAAACCATACTCACAGAAAACTAGCCAGTCTAATCACATGGACCACAGCCTTGTCTAATTCAGTGAAACTAAGCCATGCCGTGTGGTGCCACCCAAGACGGATGGGTCATGGTGGAGAGGTCTGACAGAATGTGGTCCACTGGAGAAGGGAATGGCAAACCACTTCAGTATTCTTGCCTTGAGAACCCCATGGACAGTATGAAAAGGCAAAATGATAGGATACTGAAAGAGGAACTCCCCAGGTTGGTAGATGCCCAATATGCTACTGGAGATCAGTGGAGAAATAACTCCAGAAAGAATGAAGGGATGGAGCCAAAACAAAAACAATACCCCGTTGTGAATGTGACTGGTGATAGAAGCAAGGTCTGATGCTGTAAAGAGCAATATTGCATAGGAACCTGGAATGTTAGGTCCATGAATCAAGGCAAATTGGAAGTGGTCAAACAGGAGATGGCAAGAGTGGACTGGAATGGGTGAACTTAACTCAGATGACCATTTTATCTACTACTGTGGGCAGGAATCCCTTAGAAGAAATGGAGTAGCCATCATGGTCAACAAAAGAATCTGAAATACACTACTTGGATGCAGTCTCAAAAACGAAAGAATGATCTCTGTTCATTTCCAAGGCAAACCATGCAATATCACAGTTATCCAAGCATGTGTCCCAACCAGTAACACTGAAGAAGCTGAAGTTGAATGGTTCTATGAAGACCTACAAGACATTTTAGAACTAACACCCCCCAAAAATGTCCTTTTCATTATAGGGGACTGGAATGCAAAAGTAGGAAGTCAAGAAACACCTGGAGTAACAGGAAAATTTGGCCTTGGAGTATGCAATGAAGCAGGGCAAAGGCTAATAGAGTTTTGCCAAGAGAACACACTCGTCATAGCAAACACCCTCTTCCAACAACATAAGAGAAGACTCTACAAATGGACATCACCAGATGGTCAACACTGAAATCAGATTGATTATATTCTTTGCAGCCAAAGATGGAGAAGCTTTATACAGTCAGCAAAAACAAGACTGGGAGCTGACTGTGGCTCAGATCATGAACTCCTTATTGCCAAATTCTGACTTAAATTGAAGAAAGTAGGGAAAATCACTAGACCATTCAGGTACGACCTATATCAAATCCCTTTCAGTGGAAGTGAGAAATAGATTTAAGGGACTAGATCTGATAGAGTGCCTGATGAACTATGGACGGAGGTTCGTGACATTGTACAGGAGACAGGGATCAAGACCATCCCCATGGAAAAGAAATGCAAAAAGCAAAATGGCTGTCTGAGGAGGCCTTACAAATAGCTGTGAAAAGAAGAGAAGTGAAAAGCAAAGGAGAAAAGGAAAGATATTCCCATTTGAATGGAGAGTTCCAAAGAATAGCAAGGAGAGATATGAAAGCCTTCCTCAGCGATCAATGCAAAGAGATAGAGGAAAACAACAGAATGGGAAAGACTAGAGATCTCTTTAAGAAAATTAGAGATACCAAGGGAGCATTTCATGCAAAGATAGATTCGATAAAGGACAGAAATGGTAGGGACCTAACAGAAGCAGAAGATATTAAGAAGAGGTGGCAAGAATAAATAGAAGAACTGTCCAAAAAAGATCTTCACAACCCAGATAATGATGGTGTGATCATTCACCTAGAGCCAGACATCCTGGAATGTGAAGTCAAGTGGGTCTTAGGAAGCATCACTATGAACAAAGCTAGTGGAGGTGATGGATTTCCAGTTGAGCTATTTCAAATCCTGAAAGATGATGCTGTGAAAGTGCTGCACTCAATATGCCAGCAAATTTGGAAAACTCAGCAGTGGCCATAGCACTGGAAAAAGGTCAGTTTTCATCCCAATCCCTAAGAAAGGCAATGCCAAAGAATGCTCAAACTACCACACAATTGCACTCATGTCACACACTAGTAAAGTAATGCTCAAAATTCTCCAAGCCAGGCTTCAGCAGATATGTGAACCGTGAACTTCCAGATGTTCAAGCTAGTTTTAGAAAAGGCAGAGAAGGCAGAGGAGCCAGAGATCAAATTGCCAACATCCACTGGATCATCAAAAAAGCAAGAGTTCCAGACAAACATCTATTTCTGCTTTATTGACTGCGCCAAAGCCTCTGACTGTGTGGATCACAATAAACTGTGGAAAATTCTGAAGGAGATGGGAATACCAGACCACCTGACCTGCCTCTTGAGAAACCTATATGCAGGTCAGGAAGCAACAGTTAGAACTGGACATGGAACAACAGACTGGTTCCAAATAGGAAAAGGAGTATGTCAAGGCTGTATATTGTCACCCTGCTTATTTAACTTATATGCAGAGTACATCATGAGAAACGCTGGGCTGGATGAAACACAAGCTGCAATCAAGACTGCCGGGAGAAATATCAATAACCTCAGACATGCAGATGACACCACCCTTATGGCAGAAAGTGAAGAAGAACTAAAGAGCCTCTTGATGAAAGTAAAAGAGGAGAGTGACAAAGATGGCTTAAAGCTCAACATTCAGAAAACTAAGATCATGGCATCTGGTCCCATCACCTCATGGGAAATAGATGAGGAAACAGTGGAAACAGTGTCAGACTTTATTTTTTTGGGCTCCAAAATCACGGCAGATGGTGACTGCAGCCATGATATTAAAAGACGCTTACTCCTTGGTAGGAAAGTTATGACCAA